GGGGGTAAGAGGCAATTTTCTATGTCATTATTTTTCTTTCGTCTTTCGCCTTACAAGGACAGTGCAAGGGTACTCTCTAAAGACTCGCTATCATTATGTACTTTTTGCTCTCGCTCTAAAACAATTGTTGGTGTTTTACGCCCCTGTGGACACTGTTTGGGTCATTTAGGAGGCGGGCTGCTTTGACCCTGTCGGTCAGGCCATCGCGGGCTGAGAAGGATACAACGTCCCTCTACGAAAACTGAGATATAAGGATGCCAAATTAAATTAATGTTATCGGGAACAGAAGAAAGTAGAGAAGAACCATAAAGATTAAGGAACTGCTTTTGCTCAAAGAGGTGAGAAAGAATGATTACGTTTTCCATATACAAAAACCAAGAAATCAGAACATTAAAATTCTGTAAAAACTGTAGAAACCTGAAAGCAAGAGAAACCAGAAGGAAAAAGGGCAAACTGACAAGGTTTATGAGAGAAAAACTAAATCAGCAAGAAATCCCCCCCCTCCCTAAAACAATACAAAAACAACGACAAACAAAATACAACCAAAAAACCCCAAAAGATCGGGTGCACGCAAAGCAGGGCACGATGACATAGCGAAACACGATCGTCGCATGGCGCCTTTGATGACGCGTCCCATCGCTCTGTCCGTAATATGTAGATTAAGATAATGTACATAATTATTCTCCCCAATAACGGCTGGGACATGTTGCCAAAGTAACAGAATGCCGTTTGTGGCTTATTTCTGAAACCAGGGTTGCACATTGCCCAGCCCAGCCCAATTGGCCTTGGAATACGCAGAACATGCAAAAACTCAGTAATTTCAAAGATTCACTTCCTCCTTTCGTAAAATTTTTTTTATTACACTTGTTTTACAAATCGCCTACGTCTGTGGTGTAGCGGTTAGATTCTTCGCTGTTGGACACATCAGACTTGAGTTCGGTTCCTGAATATGGAAAGCGCGAAAAACGCTTTTACTTTTTTTTAAGAATAAGGGATCGAAATTTCCTTTTTGTTTTATCAAAAAAAAAAAAAAAAAGGTACCCATGTTCATGTTCCAGAGCAGAACTACTAACCAAAAAATGGTACAAAATCTTATCTCGAAAATGTGCTCAAGATTTTAGCATATTTACGAAGCTTAACTATTTCTGCAACAATGTCCATCATTACAACTACAAAATCAGTACACGTTTTCTGACAAATATGCATTTATTTGACCCACCCTATTTCACAAAATGCACAGCAACCAGAAGTTTACATAATATGGTTACAGTGTTATTATTTGGCAAATTTATGCAAAACCCTGAGCTTTAGTCTGTCCCTGTGGTTTTATGGACCCCGCATAATTTAGCGAAATTTTATCATTTTTTGCATAATTTCTGATTATTTTCCTTAATCATCCTTTGTTAAAAGTAACAGAATCGCATAATTTCACATTTTTGAGCTCAGTTTGCATAATTTCATAGTTTTTCTTTTGCATAAAACCACGGGGACAGTTTAGTTAATAATGATAATAAAAATGCACACTATACTTTTTATAGCGTCTACTCTAGTACAATTCCGCTCTGGCCGCTGAACAGTACCTTCATCTCAACACCAAACAAAAGTGCATGAACATGTATAACAGGACATACGCTCTTTGGATTGAAATTTGGTACCGTAACGGCCACTCTGATCACATCTTTTTCTCATGTGTAGATCGATCAACAATAAATCCAGAAAACCGCGAACTATACCAATTTATTGTACTTCTACTAAAAGAAACATTCTACACCCCCCTCCTCCTTCACGTCCCCTTTCCACCACATACACACACCACCCACCCCCCCTCCCCAATCATCTTGGATTCTTCAGGTCATAATACACATTAGTTTTAGAAAGCGTTTACGGCACTTGCAGCATAATTAGGTTATACAGTATAAGTGCAGAAGATTAAAGCACTTATGTGAAATGTAATAATAATTAATAATAATTGCATTTATATAGCGCATATCCATGCTCAAGAGCATGCTCTATGCGCTTTACAACTATCATTACCCCAGCAGACC